GTCCGCATGGAGTTTGCTAAAAAACACCTGAAGGACTCCAAGATGGTGAGAAATAAGATTCTCTGGTCTGATGAGACCAAGATAGAACTTTTTGGCCTTAATTCTAAGCGGTATGTGTGGAGAAAACCAGGCACTGCTCATCACCTGTCCAATACAGTCCCGACAGTGAAGCATGGTGGTGGCAGCATACTGCTATGGGGGTGTTTTTCAGCTGCAGGGACAGGATGACTGGTTGCACTCGAGGGAAGGATGAATGCGGCCAAGTACTGGGATATCCTGGACGAAAACCTTCTCCAGAGTGCTCAGGACCTCAGGCTGGGCCGAAGGTTCACCTTCCAACATGACGATGACCCTAAGCACACAGCTAAAATAACGAAGGAGTGGCTTCACAACAACTCCGTGACTGTTCTTGAATGGCCCCGCCAGAGCCCTGACTTAAACCCAATTGAGCATCTCTGGAGAGACCTGAAAATGGCTGTCCACCCACGTTTACCATCCAACCTGACAGAACTGGAGAGGATCTGCAAGGAGGAATGGCAGAGGATCCCCAAATGCAGGTGTGAAAAACTTGTTGCATCATTCCCAAAAAGACTCATGGCTGTATTAGCTCAAAAGGGTGCTTCTACTAAATACTGAGCAAAGGGTCTGAATACTTATGACCATGTGATATTTCACTTTTTCTTTTTTAATAAATCTGCAAAAATGTCAAAAATTCTGTGTTTTTTCTGTCAATATGGGGTGCTGTGTGTACATTGAGGAAAAATATGAACTTAAATGATTTTAGCATATGGCTGCAATATAACAAAGAGTGAAAAATTGAAGGGGGTCTGAATACTTTCTGTACCCACTGTATATGTATGTGTGTGTGTGTGCGTGTGCCATGTGGTCACTGAACTGGCAGGTGTTTGGTTGCCATCTAGTGTTCAGGTTCAGAGAAACTATTTACTTATTTTATTTTATCCTTTATTTTTTTTTTCCCACAACATACTGTTTCATAGCAAAAACCCAATGAAAACCTGGTAACATTAGCCTGTCATTGCTGTGATGAAATTACAGATCTTTCATTGCATTTTCACAGAAATGTCTACAATATATAGAAAAACACATTCATCCTAGCAAAAACATATTTAATTGACGTGTTAAAAGGTTATATACTGTACGTTCAAAGTTTATACATCAAAATTATTCATTTGCTATTAATAAGTGGGAACATTAACAATCTCAATGATCAACAGAAGTAGTGGCACTTCTCAGTAAAGAAGAATATTTAGTAAGCGTAGAGGGTGACACCCCCTCACCAAAAAAACAAAACAAAACAAAAAAAAAATGACATACAAAAGCCCTTTCTTTAGTGTGGTGGCTGCTTCCTAAAGACCAAACCACCAATTACACCAAAAAGTAGAAACCATCTTAATTCAAGTTACATATACACACAAAGCCTTAAATTATATAATAATTACACCACATCAAGCTGAAAGACTATTTCTGTTACCAAACTTGACTGAGCTTCAGTAAACTTGTATTTATGTATATTTAAAAGTCTAACTAAAAATAGGGTGTTTTCTTTGTGTCTACATGTCACTAGATAAGAACATAGGTTTAAAAAAAAAAAAAAAAAAAAAAAAAAAACCAAAACAAAAACAAATTAAGACTGGACAATCAAATGTTTGTAAAGGAGCAAAAGCAGTCAAAGAAGCAAGCTGGTTAACTTGTTAGATTATAGTAGCTATATGAGACAAATATATTGCTTTAGAATGTGAAACTTTATTCCATAAAATCATTTGCACTGGGGGACCTGGGAAATGACTGTTCATTTCCCACCATTTTCTTAATGTGCTTAAAAAAAAAGAAGTAGGGATTTTTCCCTGTGCATATGATGCTCGTTCATGAAGCTGAATGAGCAGGTGGGAGGGAATGTAATTAATGACCCCACTCCAATGACTCAAATGTGATATATATTTAAAAAAAAAACCTGCTCCATTTGATAAACATATAAAAGCATATTACACTTTCTCCTAAATCTTGTGCACCAGTTTTTTGAGCCAATTATGTAACAGCCAAGTCTATTGAGGCAAACCGTTGTTTGGGCCAGTTACTATAAGTCACACCTTGAGTGTGTGATAACTGGCTGACATTGGAGGAAAGTCAGCACAAATAAAGCAGAATTGGACAACGGTGATTGATATAGGTTGAAAATCTTAGTCGTCGTAGTTCCTTCTTGGTGGCTTACTGGTTGGTACAGGTGGTCTGTCACGATCACGGTCATCATAGCGGCGATCGTCATCGTAGCGCTCATGACGGTCACTGTACTTGTCACGGCGGTCGGAGTAGTCACTGCGTCGATCATCGTAGTCGCTACGTCGATTGCCGGAGGGACTGCGACGATCACTGTAGTCGCTGCGCCGGTCATCGTAGTCGCTGCGCCGGTCATCGTAGACCCTGAGCCGATCATCATCGTCCCTGCGCCGGTCGTAACCCCTCTCACTCTGTTCCTCATGCTCATCATGCCGATCAGCAGCGCTTTTCACAGTGGAGTTCTCAGAACTGTGTATATTCTCCTGCCCATCAGCTTGGCGACTCTCACTATTTTTAGCCAGCTCTTGGTCGTGGAACTCGTCCTCACGAGCTCTGCAAGGTGAGCACACATCAGTCAGATGTTTGGGATGATCTGATGGACCAAGTGATTTGAGAGATATGTTTATATGTGTAATCCTATCAACAAATGTGACTCACTGAAATACTGTCTGTGTTCAGATCACAAATGACCAAGGAAATCACTCTGGACAAAGTAATTTGATCAAATGGAGCAACAATAGTTGTGCATTAGCAACCAAGTGCTAATATCGAAAATGCGCTCATGTGCAATACTGACATGCATATTTGTCAATATATGCAAAAATCTGTAAATGTGTTTTCAGATTTACAAGTGAACTAAAATTAGATTCTAAAAGAAACTAAGATTTGTAAATGTGCACACAAATCTGTAAATGTAAATACAATGTACACATGTACAAGTGCAAAAATCCATCCATCCATCCATTTTCCTCCGCTTATCCGGGACTGGGTCGCGGGGGCAGCAGTCTAAGCAAAGATGCCCAGACTTCCCTC